ATTCTATTCTATTCTATTCTATTCTATTCTATTCTATTCTATTCTATCCTATCCTATCCTATCCTATCCTATTTCATCATCATCATCATTCTCAGCCACTTACCTGGACACCTCCGTTCATTGCATTGCTTGAATTCTTCCTTGGGACCTTGACATGGCTCTCCTCCGAAGAAAGGACCATAGCAGACACGGTCACGTTTCTGGGTTCCTCCTCCACAGGTGGCAGTACAGCTTCCCCAAGGACCCCAGACCTGCCATTTTCCATCCACTGCAGCGGAAGGACAAGAATGACAAGAAGCGTGTTGCAACATTCCTACAGAAAAGGAAGGCCGAAAGAACACCAGGCCTGCAAAGGGAATGCCTACAACTAACAAATGACCTTCAAGTCGATCTCAAATGTACTTTTATTTTATTTTTTTTAAGGCAACTGGACTTTCTCGGTTTTTCTCCTTGGGAAAACATTTCACTTTTCATTCCAGAAGCTTCTTCAGTTCTGCAGACAAGGGCTTTTTGGATGACAAGCAAAATGTTTTCCAAGGAGAAAAACCAAGGAAGTCCAGTTGCCTTTTGGAAAAAAAAAATCACCTTTGGGACAAACGAAACCTGGATGATTGAGAATCTCCATAAATGCTTAAATTCAATATAGGTAGTCCTCAATTTACAATGACCCTTCAGAGTTACAACGGCACTGAAAAAGTGGCACAGTTGTTTTTCACACTTACAACCATTGCAGACAGATGGTCATTTGCATCCTTTTAGACAGTCGTTGAGGCCACTTGGAGGTTTGTCCATGTCCTCAGGGGCCACCTGAGTGGTGCAAATGTGTGTGGAGCCTTCTTGGAACTGCTGAAAGGACTGTGTTGTAGACTGGAATTAGGTGATGCGGTGACCCTCCTTCTCTGTTGAGAGAGGGCTGTTCAATTTTGACTAAGGCAATTTTGCACTACTCAGGTGACCCCGAGGACACAGATAAACCTCCCAGTGGCCCCAACAACCCTCTAAAAGGATGCAAATGACCAGCTCTGTCTGCAAGGAATATAAATCCTTCCATTCCCCACCATCCTTTCAGAGCTGAAGAAGATTCTTGGCTTGAGAAGCGAAATGTCTTCAAAGAAAAACCAGAAAATCCAGTTGCTTCTTTAAAAAGCAACTCTGGGATGTTTGCTTGTTTGTTGTATATATCTGTCACCCTTCTCATAGTTCAAGACAATAACTTGGTCCTCAACACCAATAAAACCAAGGAGCTTATAGTGGATTAGAGAAGGAACACATCAGACATCTAGCCCTTGCTTATCAATGGAGACCGAGTGGAGCAACTGGCCAGCTTTAAGTTTCTGGGTGTTACCCTAAAAGAGGACCTGACCAGGGGTGTCCTGGTCAAAAGGGCCCAGCAGAGATTATACTACCTGAGGCTTCTCAGGAAACAACAACTGAATGGAAAACTGCTGGTGACCTTCTACCACTGCACCATAGAGAGTATCTTAACTTACTCCACCTGTGCCTGGTTTGCCAATTGCACAGGGGCAGATAGGACAGCACTCCAGAGGGTGAACATCATTGCCCAGAGGATCATGGGTTGCCCTCTCCCCTCTTTGGAAGAGCTTTAGAGCTCCTGCTGCCTTAAGAAAGTTCAAAACATCCTCAAAGATCCATCTCATCCTGGGAACCCTTTTTTTGAAGTATTACCATCTGGCAGACGGTACAGGACAATAAAAACAAGGATAAATAGGCTGAAAAACAGCTTCTATCCCAGGGCAATGGCTCTGTTGAATTCTACTGTACAGTGTTGATGCGGTGTCAGGGTTTTCAATTCAATGTGTGGAGTGTGAAGCATGTGCGTTTGTGTTTTTTTTTCATGGTCATGATGTGCACTGAAGATGGTACGAGGTGCAATCGCAATAAAGTAAACTAAACTAAAATCGAGGCAGTTTCATCTGGAGAAAAAGTTGGGCTGAAGTTTCAAAATCTTTAAAAAATTCTTCTACGAAGCATGGAAGTTCTGCTTTTAGAGAAGATATATTATGGGAAAGGGAAACTTTCAAAGCAATGTGCCTTCCCGCATTTTCCCAAAAACCAAAACATGATGTCATTAATACAGTTGAGACACCAGGTGGCACTAGACTTAGTTGTATCTGAGTGGGATGAAGACTTTTCAAAGAATGTAGATCAGTTTACATTCGAAAGACACAACAAGCCAACATAAATGTTGGTTTCCTGATCATTGAGCCCTTCAGTTCTTCCATGTCACCTTTTTGTATGTTTGACAAGAGCAAAAGGTGAACTGGCCTCAATGAGAAAGTGTACCTAAGTCTATTACGGGTAGTTTCGACTTACAACCATCATTGAACCCAGAGTTATGGTCATAAGTCCTTGTGGTTAAAAGTCGAGGCATCACGGGACCAAATCTGATTATTTTGGACATTTTGGGGGCGGCTATTAAGTGAATGCTGTGGTGATTAAGCAAATTCATTTCAACCATTGGATTTTTTGAAGGGGTGTGTGTGGAAATTGGAAGTAAATACCAGAAATGGTAAAAAAAATGTCAAAAATTGGGGTCCCATGACCACAGGATGCTACAAATGGTTGTAAAGGTGAGCAGGATGCTACAAATGGTTGTAAAGGCCCCAATGCAATCATGTGACAGCAGTGTGTGTGTGAGAGAGGGCGGGAGCAGAGAGGGACAGAGAGAGAGAGAGAAAGAGACAGGGGGGAGAAGGAGGGAGGGAGAGAGAGAGAGACTGTCATAACTTTAAAAATGAGTCATAAGTAGATTTTGGGGCCAAATTTCAAATGGTGTTGAAGCAACCAGTCCAAAGTTGAGGACTATGTACCCGATAGGAATATTGACACATTTTGTGTAATCTTCATTGAGACAATAGCTCAACATCTGTGAATCTCTCTCTCTCTGTATATGTTTCTCTATCTCTCTTTCTTTTTGTATCCATCTCTCTCTCTCTCTTTCATCTTACTATCACTCTTTCTTTCTTTTCATCTAGCTCATCTATTTCTGCCTATCTAATCGCTCTTCTTCCCAAATGTATTGCCCACCCATGATACCACATAAATCTTCCATTCCGTCCCTGGTCTCCAAAGATCTCAACTTGGGAAGGGTTCCCCATGAAACCCACCTGGACACTGCCGAAGGAAACAGTCTCGGGACTCGACCCAGGGCCCCTGGCACTCCGCCCCTCCGTACGAAGGTCCGTTGCATTCCCGTGTCCGCTGCTGGGTGCCATTGGAGCAGGAGGTAGAACAGGAGCTCCAGCCGGACCAGGCATTCCAGTTGCCGTCCACTGAGTGGCCCAAAGGAAGAAAAGACAGGAGACAGAATGTGAAAACCGCTTTGGCATGGGTGGGGTCCACATACCAGCATTCTGTTGCAAGCACAGATTGTATCGATGGGAGTGAAGATTCGTAGCGGAGGGTTGAGGTCCTTGGCGGTTTTCTTGCAGATGTTTCATTACCTAAACATCATCAGTGCTAGAAGGGAGGGGAGTTTGTGAAGAGGAGGAGGAGGAGAACCGTGGGGTCCTTGGTGCTCACCAAGCTTGGTGGTTTTCTTGAAGAAACTCAGTTCCCCAACTAGAGAACATCAGCAGTGCTAGAAGGCACAAGCACCACTTCCTTCAGCACTGAAGGTGCTACCTAGTTGGGTAATGAAACGTGTGCAAGAAAATCAACAAACTCAAAGAGCACCAAGGACCCCACAATTCTCTTCATCCTCCTCCCTTCCACTTCCTCCCATCCTCCTCCTCTTCACAAATCCTACCTCCTTCTAGCGCCGATGATGTTACCTAGTTGGATGATGAAATGTCTGCAAGAAAACCACCAAGCTCAGAGAACTCCTCCCTCCTTCCCTTCCATCCTTCCTTTCCTCCCTCTCTCCCTTTTCATGATTCTATAATTTGGAACCTTAGTTTGCACTGTAGTAACTTCCCAGTTAAATGTAGATTTTGAGATAGGGAATTTCAATCTCCACAGCACAGAAAGGCAATCGTGCCCTCTTGCCAGACATTGTATAAATATTTGCCCATCAAGAGTCATGAGCTACATAGGTGCTTGTTTCAAAAATTAGATTTACTTAGCTGCCTAACAAATCTTCCTGTGGCTATAATCTCAAGAAGAAGGGTAAGAGGAACAAGAGAAAACAATCCTGAAGGAGAAAGGCCATTTATCCAGACTGGGAATATTGGGATTATAAAGCCCATCCTGGAATAGTAGAACTCACAGAGGAATACAAGAGAAGAATTTAGCATAGACCTTCCAGTGATGGTTCTAGTAAAGACTTGAACAATGGTCCCTGTCCAACAAAATGAAATTCAATGTGGAGAAAAGCAAGATTTTACAGTTAGGCAGGAAAAAAAAACCAAGCTACAAGTACAGACTAGGCGAAACCCGGCTCAAAAATAATAACTGTGATTTGGAGTCCTAGTCGATAGTCACTTAAACATGAGCCAGCCGTGTATGGCAGCAGACAAAAAGGCTAATACAGTCCTTGGTTGTATAAACAGAGGCATAGAATCCAAATCACGTACAGTATTGGAGGAAAATTAGTAATCGGCTTGAAGAAATCACTAAAGTTAAAACTGAATGGAAACCAGAAATATTTTTATTAGGAATTCTAAAACAAAAGATAAGTAAAAAAAAAAATCACTATTATACTCCACATTTTAACAGCGGCAAGGCTTGTCTTTGGCCAAAACTGGAAATGTAGAAATACTCCCCCTGACTTCATGAAAGTAAAGTTTTGGAATGCACAGAAACGAACAGGCTATCACTGGAACTTAAAAATAAAGAGGAATCAGAATATTACGAGATTTGGAATTGTTGGTTACAATTGGCTGGAAGATAGACATGAAATTAATAAAACAAAGTCAAATAAAAAGGTATGACAGAAACTAATAATATTATATGTAAACAGATTTGTAATATATAATTAGATGAAACTTTGTATTATATGTTTACAGTAATAATTGTGAAAGAGTATTTCACATAATTTGAGAGATGTCAGAATGAGTGAACATCATTTGGCTTAAGTTGCGATAAGCGGAAAGTTTGATTTTATTGCATTTGTATAGATTCGTTTAATAAAGTATTTTTATTTTACTACCTCTTTATAAAGCCTTAGTAAGGCCACACCTGGAATACCATATCCAGTTTTGGTCAGCACATTACAAAAAAAGATGTTGAGACTTTGAAAAATTGCAAAGAGGAACAACTAAAGATGATTAAAGGCCCGAAAACTAAAACTTAGGAAGAACGGTTGCAGGATTTGGATTTGGCTAGTCTAGAGAAAAGAAGGATGGGGAGGACATGAGAGCAGTCTTTCAGTATTTGAGGGGCTGCCCCCCAAAAGAAGGGGGTCAACTTATTTTCCAAAGCACAAGAAGGTCCGACAAGAAACAATAAATGGAAACTAATCAAGGAGAGAAGCAACGTGGAATTAAGGAGAAACTTCCTGAAAGTGAAGACAATAAACTAGTGGAACAGCTTGCCACCAGAATTTCTGGGTGCTCCAATACTGGAAGTTTTAACGAAAAGATTGGACAGCCGCTTGTCTGAAATAGTATAGGTTCTCTGGCTTGAGCAGGGGGTTGGACTAGAAGACCTCCAAGGTCCCTTCCAACTCTTCCATTCTGATATTCTAATTCAAGGAGACAGCGGATAACCTTTGAGTGAATTCCTTGAGCGCTCTTCCTACCGAAGCAAGAGAAGGAAACGTATTTATGGAATCCTTGAGGGCTGTCTTTGCTTTCTAATATCAGCTGCCTTGGTTTTGATAAGATATTTTTCTCTTTTGACAATTTAGCCCTGCTCCCTTCTGTAATCTGTAAATAACTTACTGAGGACTCGGTTTGCCAGGCTGAATATCCTAACTGCAAACAGGAATTTGGGATGATAAAGCAAATACAAATTATTTCAAAGCAGAAGGATTTGCGCTCTTGAAAGCTCCCCGGTTTCTAAAACATTCTGAATTCACCCCTCTTTGCACAATATCATTAGCTCAAAACTCACCACATACACAAAGACACACACACACACACACACATACCCAGCCAGAAACACGAGCCATAATTTATCATCTCACTGGCGACACCTCCTTCTGCAATGTGCAATTTGGGAATGAAATATGTGTAATTTTTTATTGATGCTGTATATCTTGCAATGTGGCTTGACATGATGGACTTGCCCTAATTATCTCAGAACCTGCACTGCTAAAAGAGGGAGGCCAGAGATCAACCCCCGGCAAATAGATGAAGTTGGAAGGATCTGTTGAACTTGGATCTGGGTTGTAGATCTTTGGATGTCCTGAAGGTTCACAAACCACCTTGGGCCAATCTAGACAATGCTGGAGTGCCCAACTCTAGGTAAGCAAAGTTTGTTTCCACCACAAGACCCATCAGAAGACTTAACATAAGACCCTCACTTGACACACCCACACCTGACCCATCACTAGACCTTCAACTTGACACCCACACCTGACCCATCACAAGGTTCTCACTTGCCATGATCTCCCCATCACAAGACCCATCATAAGATTCTCACCAGACATTAGCCACACCTAACCTATCACAAGACCCATACAAGACCCTCACTTGATGAAACCCACACCTGACCCATCAGAAGAATCTCACCTGACAAGACCCTAACCTGACCTTCCTATCACAAGACCCTCACCTGATGTGACCCATACCTGACCCATCACAAGAACCTCCCCTGACATGAGCCTAACCTGACCTTCCCATCACAAGACCCTCACTTAATGTGACCCACACCTGACCCATCAGAAGACCTTCACTTGACACCTACACCTGACCCTTCAGAAGACTCTCACTTGATGTGATCTCCCCATCATAAGATCCTCACCAGATGTTAGCCACACCTAACCTATCGCAAGACCCATACAAGACCCTCACTTGATGCAGCCCACACCTGACCATTCACAAGAACTTCACCTGACATGACCCTCACCTCATGTGACCTCCTCATCACAAAACCTACTGGCCATACCAAACCCTTATAAGCAGAAGAACACTGACACACCTACGCACCTACACGCTCCCTTCAACTGAATTATGGGAGAACCTTTTAGACTAATATAACATAATTCATTTTTTGCCACTGACTCTCCTTCTCAGAAGAAGTGCTGGTCTTTGGATAGTGGGAAAAATGGCCAATTCCTCATATTATCTTTGCTTTTGTTATTATTATTATTACCTTTTATTGTCAGAGTACAACATCTGTAGGATGAGATTGGCTGAGCCTCCCTTTGAGCACACATACCCCAACACAACTCACAATGAGGACAGAAGCCCCAGCCCCAATCTTTTTACACGATGTGTCCTTGTTGCACAAAGCACCAGCCCTGCAAGTCTGTCATACTATGTTGACATGAAGTTATCTTCCATTCAGAAGTCTGACAGCTCACGGGCAGAAACTCTTCTTTAGCTTGTTGGTGTGGCTGGCTATGCTTCTATATCTCCTACCCAATGGCAGGAGAGTGAAGAAGGACTGATCGGGATGTGGTCATATTCCCATGGCATAATATGTATAATCCTTGACTTGCAACCATTTGTTTAGGAACTGTTCAAAGTTATGACAGCCCTGAGAAAAATGACTCATGACTGGTTTTCACACTTACGACATGATTTGAATGCTTGGCAACTGGCATGTACTTATGATGTCTGCAGTGTCCCAGTGTGTGTGTGTGTGAGAGAGAGAGAGAGAGAGAGAGATGTGATCCCCTTTTGTGACCTTCTGACCAGCACAGTCAACGGGGAAGACAGATTCGCTTAACGACCGGGTTACTAACTTAACAACTGCAGTGATTCACTTAACAACTGGGGCAAGAAAGGTCGTAAAATGGGGCAAACCCCACTGAATGTAACCTTCCCCGCTGGCTTCTGACATGTCAGGCTCAATGGGAGAAGCCAGATTTGCTGAACGGCGACCTGACTCATTTAACAATGGTAGCAAAGAAAGTTGCAAAATGGAGCAACGCTCACAACAAATGACTTGCTTCCCAATGAAAATTTTGAGCTCAAATGGGGTCATAAGGAGCTGCTGATCCAGAGGAATTATTGAGTCTGTCATCTGCACCTCTATAACTGTCTGGTTTGGTTCTGCAACCCAACAGGACAGACACAAACTTCAGAGGATAAATAGGACTGCAGAAAAAACAATTGCTACCAACCTGCCTTCCACCGAGGACCTGTATACTGCACGAGTCAAAAAGAGGGCTGTGAAAATATTTACAAATCCCTCACATCCCAGACATAAACTGTTTCAACTCCTTCCCTCAAAACGACGCTATAGAGCATTGCACACCAGAACAACTAGACACAAGGACAGTTTTTCCCTGAACACCATCACTCTGCTAAACAAATTCCCTCAACACTGTCCAAATATTTACAGAGTCTGCACTACTATTACTATTAACCTTCTCATCACTCCTTATTGCCCCTCCTCACCCACTTGTGACTGTATGACTGTACCTTTGTCGCTTGTATCCTAACAATTTATATGGACTGTTTCCTAGTATGATTTGATTGCTTATTGTACCCTAGGACTATTATTACCTTATGATTCTCGACTCTTGAAGAATGTATCTTTTTATTTTATGTATGCTGAGAGCATTTGCACCAAGACAAATTCCTTGTGTGTCCAATCACACTTGGTCAATAAATAAAGAATTCTACAAGTCAAGAACTAACTGCACATTTATGGTATGGCCCAATTCTGTGCATAAGATTTAAAATTAGGGTTTAATTTACATCCCAGAGGGGATGACTAGCATTCCATTATAGAGGAAGTCCTTGACTTATGACCAGGGGTGGGATTCTACTAGTTCGCACCTATTTGCTAGAACCAGTTGTTAACATTCTAAGCAGTTCAGAGAACTGGTTGTTAGAAGAAATTACTTGCCTAATCCTGTAAGGAAGGCAGGGAGGAAACATTCTGGTGTTGCTTACAGAAACTGCCTCTCTGTTAACCCTTATTCGGTTCTTGGCAGGACTAGACTTCCTGTCTCAGGAACTTCTCTGGAGTCTTTTTTTCCTCCTTTGCTGGTACTTTGCTTGTGTGGAGTGACCAAAGTTACAATGGCACTGAAAAAAGTGACTTATGACCCATTTTTCACACTTACGACTGTTGCAGCATCCCCACAGTCATGAGAGGCCAGGTGAGGAGATGCGTGCCTCGATGTGAGTGATATTGAGTTGGCCACGCCCAGCCAGTCACATGACCACCAAGCCACGCCCATCACCTAAGCCATGCCCACAGAACCGGTTGTTAAAAATTTGAATTCCACTCCTGCTTATGACCACAATTGAGCCCCAAACTTCTGCTTGTTAAGCGAGGCTGTTGTTCACTTCCTTTCGCCCCATTTTCCAACTTGTCTTGCAATTACGGCTAAGTGAATCACTGCAGTTGTTAAATTAGCCACATGATTGTTGTGAGAATCTGGCTTCCCTGTTGACTTTGCTTGTCAGAAGGTTGCAATTTATGCCTGCCACTGTCATAAATACGAGTCAGTTTGCCAAGCTTGTGGATTTTAATCATCTGACCATGCAGATTTTTGCAACAAATGTAGGTGTGAAAAACGGCCATACGTCACTTTTTTCAGGGCTGTTGTAAACTTTGAACAATCCTTAAATGAACTGTGGTTAGTCGAGGACAAAATGTATTGAAACTGAAGTATCCAAATGTACTGTTTTGATCAAAGAAAAAAAAATACTTTTATTTCTACCTGGAAACCGCTTCTGGGCTTTGTGCTTGGGGTGGTAAAATATAAATACTGTTATTTCTACTTGGAAACCGTTTCTGGACTTGGTGCTTGGGGTGGAAAAACATAAATACTGCTATTTCTGCTTGGAAACTGCTTCCGGATTTTGTGCTTGAGGTGGGAAAATATAAATATTTTTATTCCTACTTGGAACCCACTTCTGGACTTTGTGCTTGAGGTGGGAAAAATGAAACTTAGATTTTGGGTGTTGCCGATTGGATAGATTTATTGTTATAGAAATGGCTAGTTTATATTATTATGTAAAAGTAAAAAGTTGAGGTTTAATGTTATCTTATTCTACAGCACCAAAGGGAATCAGAAGTCAATGCCTTTTTTTTCCCCCTTTCTCTTTCCCTTTGCTTTTCCCTTCTTTATTTTCCTATTATTTCCTTTTGTATTTTCTTTGTATGCTATATTAAGTAAAGGTAAAGGTTCCCCTCGCACATATGTGCTTGTCGTTTCTGGCTCTAGGGGGCGGTGTTCATCTCTGTTACAAAGCCGAAGAGCCAGCGCTGTCCGAAGACGTCTCCGTGGTCATGTGGCCGGCATGACTCAATGCCCAAGGTGCACAGAATGCTGTTCCCTTCCCACCAAAGGGGTCCCTATTTTTCTACTTGCATTTTTACATGCTTTCGAACTGCTAGGTTGGCAGAAGCTGGGACAAGTAATGGGAGCTCACTCCGTTACGCTGCGCTAGGGATTTGAACCGCCAAACTGCTGACCTGTCTTAGCCCCTGAGCCACTGCGTCCCATTATGAATGAATAAAATTATATTATAAACTATATTATAAATGAATAAAAACTGGGGTGTTTTTTTTAAAAAAGGGAGTATTTTTAGGGAGTACTTTGGACACCGCACCCCCACAACAACCCAGCTTGTTCCAGTAAAGCCCCCACTGCCCTTAAGGTGGGTGGGTGGAGAAGAAATAAATTTTCTCCCAATCCACGCTGTGTTCTGACCTTTCTCGGAGCACAAACCATCTCTGTTAAATGGCTGGCATTTCTCTCTTTAATTAACATCCGTGTGTGTGTGTGTGTGTGTGTGTGTGTGTGTGTGTGATAAAACACTAAAAGCAGTGCTCAGTTGTTTGCCAAGATTTTCACTCTGAAGATCCAGCAGTTTAATTATCGGCGACTCACTGCACCAAATCAAACCGCCGCCAGCCAGCCAGAATTTAAGCAGAGTTCCTGCTGCAATTAAGCAATATTTTGTAAGCTTTCTCTTCCCTTCCTTTTCCCCAAAAGCCTCTCTCTCTCTCTCTCTCTCTCTCTCTCTCTCTCTCTCTCTCTCTCTCTTGTCCAGCTGCAAATAAGTGCCGCATTGCTCCTGCACCGGAGAATTACCACTGTTTGGGGGTAATTGAACGAAACATACCCAATTCCTGCAACCATTCTTCATATGTTTTAGCCTTCAGCACCCTAATACTCTTTGTTGCTCTTCTGTGCACTCTTTCTAGAGTCTCAACATCTTTTTTACACCGTGGAAACCAAAACTGGATGCAGTACTCTAGGTGTGGTCTTACTAAGGCTTTGTAGAGTGGTATTAGTATCTCACTTGATCTTGATTGTATCCCTCTGTTAATGCAATTTAGGATCGCATTGGCCTTTTTGGCTGCTGCTACACACGGCTGGCTCATATTTAAATGGTTGTCCACTAGGACTCCAAGATCCCTCTCCCAGTTACTACTATTGAGCCAGGTACCACATATACTCTACCTGTACATTTGGGCTTTTTCTCTAGATGTAGAACCTTTTTTTTTTTTTTCACCATTGAATTTTATTTTGTTAGATAACGCTCGATGTTACAATGTACCTATACCTAGTTGTTAAGTGAAACTTATGTTCGTTAAGCAAATCTGGATTTCTCCCTCGGCTTTGCTGGTCACAAGGCAGCGGGGATGGTCACAAATGGCGATCACATGGTCCCAGGACATTGCAACCTTCGTAAATATGAGCCAGTTGTCAATTGTCTGAAGTCCCAAAGGCGCTTGTCTTTCCCCAAGAGGCAACTGAACTTTCTGGTTTTTCTTTAAAGACATTTCACTTTTTATCCTAGAAGCTTCTTCAGCTCTAACCAGATGGTTTAGGAATGGAAGGATTCATATTCCTTGCAGACAGCTGATCATTGGCCTTTTTAGAGAGTTGTTGAGGCCACTTGGAGGTTTATCTGTGTTACAGGAGCGATCTGAGTCGTACAAATGGGTGTGGAGCTTTCTTGGAATTGCTGAAAAGACACCGTTACAGATATCTATCTACAACGCAGTCCTTTCAACAGTTCCAAGAAGGTTTAACACCCATTTGCACCACTCAGGTGACCCTGAGGACACAGATAAACCTCCAGGTGGCCTCAGTGGCTCTCCAAAAGAATGCAAATGACCAGCTGTCTGCAAGAAATATAAATGCTTCCATTTCCCCACTATCCTGTCAGAGCTGAAGAAGCTTCTTGGATGAGAAGCAAAATGTCTTCCAAGAAAAATCAGAAAGTCCAGTGAGCTCTTGAAAAAAAAAAAAAAACCTTTGAGACAAGCATGACCTGGATGATGGAGAATCTCCATAGACAATCGTCTGAAGGTTGATCAAGTGACCATGGGGATGCGGCAATGGTCATAAGCCACTTTTCCAGTGCTGTTGTAACTTTGAACGGTCACTAAATGAACGCTCGCAAATCAAAGTCTACCTCTGTGTGCTGTTCTATAAAGGTAAAGGTTCCACTCGCACATCTCTGCTAGTCGTTTCCGGCTCTAGGGGATGCTGCTCATCTACATTACAAAGCTGAAGAGCCAGCGCTGTCTGAAGACATCTCCGTGGTCATGTGGCCGGCATGACGAAATGTCAAAGGCGCACGGAACGCTGTTCCCTTCCCACCAAAGGAGTCCCTATTTTTCTACTTGCATTTTTACATGCTTTTGGTTGGCAGAAGCTGGGACAAGTAACAGGAGCTCCAGTGGTGGTATGCTACCGGTTCAGCCTGGTTCTGCCGAACTGGTATCAGCGATGAGCAGCGGAGACCATACCAGGTTCTCTCCACTGCTCTGCTGTTGGGCCCACCTGCCCACCAAGGCTCCCATACTCAAGCGACTGGGAGAATGCAGGCTTGCAGGAGGTGAGTTGGAATGCCTCTGCACCTGTGCAAAGTGCGCATTTGTCATGCGTGCGCCCATATAGTGTGCGCACGCGCACAAAGCGTCCCCACCAAGCCACGCCGAGCAATCCCACCACTGGGGAGCTCAATCTGTTATGCGGCGCTAGGGATTCGAACCGCTGAACTGCTGACCTTTCTGATCTACAAGCTCACCGTTTTAGCCACTGAGCCACTGTGTCCCATAATGAACAAATAAAATTATTCCATTCTTCTGCTCTCAAAACAGAATACCTTCTGTTAGAGGGATTCTCTGGAGGGATGTGGAGATGAGAAAATTGTGGGTCATTTTCAGTGACTGATTCATGGCCACCCGCTAATAGCAAAATATCAAAGAAAGTCTCTTTAGCAAATTACCTGGGCAAAGGGCAATATTGCAGAACTTGGTTTGCTTCTCGGGACCTTCACAGGGGCTTCCTCCAAACTGGGGGGGTTTGCATATCCGGGTTCGATCTCTGTATCCCCGTCCACACGTCGACGAGCAGAGACTCCATGGCGACCATTCGTCCCAAGTGCCGTGGACTGTAATGAAAGAGAACAGCTCAGCCCAGGGAAGCCTTCGCAACTCTACACCAGTTCAGTGTTCATCGTGTATTGATGAATTCTTTCTTTCTTTCTGTTAGAGTTTATTGCAGAAATCAAATCCAGAAAGCACACACAGATGACTGATTCAGCAGGATTCATTAACTTCTTTATATACATAATAATATATGAGCAAATGTACAATACCAATAGTACATTCTTCCAATGTGATAGTAGTTAGAAGCAAAAGTACAAGGAGAGAAGAGAACAGCCTCAGTTTCAACAGACAAGCAAGTCCAGACACGTTTGCAACTCCAGAGTTCAGAGCAGATAGCGTCAGTTCTCAGCACAGTATTCAAAGCTGCAGGGCCACGCCCAAGCTCCTTCGGTTTCAGTTTCAAATTCAGCTCTCATTGGATGACCTGTTGCCATGCTATTCATTGACTGACCTTGTTATTATGTCTCTGCCAGTTCATGACTATTCTGACATGTTCTTCCCTGCCTTCCTTGTTCCTCATCAAGTAACTCAAGGCAGGAAAACATATCTATGGCTCTTTCCGCCTCCTATGTAACTCACAATAACAAACAACCTTGTGAGGTGCATTGAGCTAAGAGAGGACTGGCTCAAAGTTTGTGCCTCAGGGGGAACTAGAATTCACAGTCTCCTGGTGATTGGCCCAAAGTCATCCAGTCAACTTTTGTGCCTAAAAGACAACTAGAACTCATATTCTCCTGGTGACTGGCACAGCCAGCTTTCATGCCTAATGTGCGACTAGAACTCACAGTCTCCTGACGATTGGCCCAAAGTTACCCAGCTGGAATTCACACCTAATGTGAGACTAGAACTTACAGTCTCCTGGTGATTGGCTAAAGTTACCCAGCCAACTTTCATACCTAATGCAGGACTAGAACACATATTCTCCTGGTGATTGACCCAAAATCACCTAGCTGGTTTGCATGCCTTAGGTGGGACTAGAATTCACAGTCTCCTAGTGATTGACCCAAAGTTACCTAGATGGCTTTCATGACCAAGATGAACTAGAACTCGCCATCTCCAAGTGATTGGCCCATAAACACCCAGCCAACTTTCATGCCTTAGGTGAGACTAGAATTCAGAGTTTCCTGGTGATTGGCCCGAAGTCACCTAGATGGCTTTCATGCCCAAGGTGAACTAGAACTCCCATCTCCCAGTCACCCAGTCAGCTTTCCTGTCTAATGAGGAAGTAGAAATCACAGTCTCCTGGTGATTGGCCCAAAGTCACCTACCTGGCTTTCATGCCCAAGGTGTACTAGAACTCACCATCTCCTATTGATTGGCCCAAAGTCACCCAGGCTGCTTTCCTGTCTAAAGCAAGACTAGAACTCCCAGTCTCCTCATTCCCAGACCAGCACCTAGACCAAACCAGCTATCTTTTTATAGCCTCTTTGTTCTGCATTCTACCTTCCTCATTTATGTTGCACAAATTAAACAGCTGGAGACGAAATTTTTAGGTCAATTTAGATCAACATGTTGCAGTGACAACACGGGGTTGGGAGCCATATCAAATTTTGATTAAAATTTCCCCACGGACTCTCCAAAGAAAGGGGTACAGGGAGGTTCTATTTTCCACTTATAAGCTCCTAGTAAATTACAGCTTCTTTTTAGCAGAAACCAATTTTCTCTTTTCTGACTGCGGGATAAGCAAATCTGTGTGCTTGCCATCCAAGACCTTCATATTATTCATATTCAGCGAACATTTTAACTGTAATTTCTGCCTTCATTTGCAACTCTAAGGACTCCCCACCAGTACGTTTCAAATTCAAATAAAACTAATACTTTTTACCCATAATTTCAGCATCAATTTGCAATTCTAAGACCTCTCCTAAAACCCCTTTTTGATTCCGCTAAAGCTCACATTTTCCTTCCAAATCATATTTAAATATGTATTTCAAGGAGATTCGGCTCCTGAAATTTGTACCGAAACATTATTAGCGTTAGCCCCGCGTATTTTTATTTAATATATACAAGAGTTCGCCTTGCAAAGAACCTAAGAAAAGGAACGCCAATTAAAACACCAAAGCATCCATTATTAAATATGTAAACATGTCAAGTCACTGCTGGAGATATAATAAGGAGAAGAGCATTTTCAGCGGCACATCTGAAGGAAATTGCTCTCTTTTTTAATTCGCCTTCAAAATTTGGTTTCAAACTAGAGTGGGTTTACAAGAGGGGGTCAAATTATTCTCCAAAGCACCTGAAGGCAGGCAAGAAACAATGGTTGAAAACTAATCAAAGAGAGAAGCAATCTGGAATTAAGGAGAAACTTCCTACCCATGGAGACAATTAACCAGTGGAACAGCTTGCCTGTAGAACACGGATGTCAAACTCAACGACCGCAGGCAAGATCCAGCCCGCAGGATGCTTAAATCTGGTCCATGGGGCCAGCCTGGAAATATCGAAGGATTGGCCCAGGGTGGCTCTGTCAACCAAAACGGACCTTTGGTACTTCCAGAGTGATGCTGGAAGACAGGGAGGCCAACAAGAGATAACAGATAATCGGAGTTGGAAGGGACCTTGTAGGTCATCTAGTCCAGTGGTCGCCAACCAGTGGGCCAAAGACCACTGGTGGTCCATGAGAAAATTTTGGCGCAGAGAAATGTCACCCCCAAAGCACCTCCCCCCAGCAATTAATCCAGGCCTGCGGGAACACAAGGCTTGTGTCGCTTGCATTGTGAACAACATGAGGTAGTGAGAAGAGGGGGGAAAGGGTGGAGGGGAGGAACTTGCCCCACTCATCCCACGCGCCTGGCCTGGCCACTGGGCTGCTTCTTTCTGCTTCTTTCTTCTTCTGCTTTTGGCTGCACGCAAGGAAAGCAGCCAAAGTCTTTCTTTCTCTCCCCCAAACTCCACCAGAAATGAGTCTTTGGGACCCTGCAAGGCCTTCTGCTCCAAGAGGCTGTGCCGGTAACTCATTCATGGTGGAGTTTTGGGGAGAGAAAGAAAGACTTCTGCTGCTTCTGCTGCTTTCCTTGCATGAAGCCAAAAGTCTCTCCCTCTCTCTCCCTCCCTCTGATAACAGAGCTGGAGATGGGTATCCTGCAATCCCAAATAAAGAATGATCGATCGGTAGGAAAACGGGGTGGGGAATTTTCCTGCAGACTTTTTAGGGTTTTTTCCCAGGGTCTCTGGTCTGTGGGATTTAAAATTATGAGTTTGGTGGTCCCTGAGTTCCAAACGGTTGGCAACCCATGATATAGTCCAACTTTCAGCTCAGGAAGGAAACCCTACTCCATTTCTGACAGATGAGAGTCCAATCTCTTCTTGAAAGTCTCAAGCGCGTGAGTAGCTCCCCCATGTCCCGTTTTGGATAGCAGGGTGCTGCAGGAGTCATCCATCCCATCCCATCTCCCCTCCTCCCCCTCCTCCCACCAGCCCACAGAGGAGAACTACAATTCTGACCTGGCCCTTGATGAAATCCAGTTTGACACCCCTGCTCTAGAAGTCACGGGTGGTTCATCACTAGAGGTTTTTCAGAAGAGACTGGACAGCCACTTGTCTGAAATAGTATACGGTTCTCCTGCTTGAGCAAGGGGCTGGACTAGAAGACCTCCAAAATCCCGCTCTATTCTATTCTCAAACCACTGGTGTGTTTCGAATATTTTTACCACCGGTTCGGTGGGCGTGCACTGCGCGTGTGCACTCATTTTGCACGTGCCAAATGCTCACTTTGTGAAGGTGCAGGGCCTTTTGAGTTACCTCCTGCGATCCTGCATTCTCCCTGATGCTTCAGCAGCTGCCGCACAGCAATTGCAAAGCAGCTGCACTTCAAAAGCAGGCCATAAAGGTTAGCGTGGGAGCCCAGGCAGGCGGGCGGGCCCAACACAGAACATTGGAGAGAACCGGTTCAGTATCTGCTGCTCATCGGCACTACCAGCTCGGCAGAACCGGGCCAAACCGGTAGAATACCGTCATTGTCTCAAACATTCCATCGCGGACACTCAAGCACCAAAAAAATCCATTCAGAAGTTCCAACAACCATCCGAGCTGGATTCCTTAATTCTTACGATCAAAACTGAACCCCACATTTCCATCACTAAGTGTCAGCCTTCAAGATCTTCTACTATTGCTTTGCATCTTTGCGTTACCATAAGTAACGGGGGGAGGAGGTGGGCTTTGGTCCGGGAAGAGAGCTGGAGGTGTTACATTCTTATGTTGTGTAAATGAGGAGTTGCGGTGGGGAGTATAAATTCCTGCTTTTAGGTTTCTATTTCTCGCTTAGCTTTCTTTTCTCTGCGCAGCCGCAAATCTTTATCAAAATATGCCAAGGTCAACGGGCAGAGGCCTCATCATCACCCGAAGATGTCTACGTGATCATATTCGGAACTTTTAATTGGAAGAATCTTTTGAACTATGGGGGTGGGTGGGAAGATTTCCATCACTTTGTATATGTGATCTGCGCGCCTAATTTCTCAGATTCAGAATCCTACTTGATGCTACCGCTTCATTTTCAGTAAAAGAATTCTTTTCTCTAATCTATGGAGTCTAAGTATTTCTTTCTTGGATTTTGAATGGAGCACAGACTGACACTAGGTAAGACAGCTGGTAAGTGGATTTTTGCCGCATTTTACAGCCTTCTCGTTGTGAAGCAAGTTGCGGCAGTTGTGTTTTAGTTAGGAATTCAGTTGTTAAGTGAATCTGGCTCCCTTCTGGACTTTGCTTTTCAGAAGGTTGCAAAAGGGGATCCCTTTGGGACCCCAGGACACTCCGACAGTCATAAATATGAGTCAGTTGCTATGAGCCTCAATTGTGATAAGTTGACCATAGAGATGTCGCAACAGTTGTTGAAATACAGTCATAAGTCACTTTTTTTTCAGTGCTATTGTAAATTTGCACAGTCACTAAATGAATGATTGTAAATCAAGGACTATCTGCAGTTCAAAACAGGCTCTTTGGGGGCTCAATCATTCCGTGATGTCAAGTTTCATATATCCCTGATCAAACTTACACCGGATCAGAATTCCTAAACAGAATTCCTTTGGGGATCCATCGAATTGGCCATGTCAGTCATTTGCCTCCGCAGATGAAAAATTGATTGGTTAATTAATTCATTCCAATTTCATTTGGTGATTCATTGCATTCTAAGTTCCCCATATTGGGAGGCTGAAAATCAGGACTTGGTAGACCAGCTGATCTGGTAGTCCTGATAAGCAGGAGAATATTTGTCACTAAGGATGTAACTGTGGGGTCCTTGGTGGTCTCTGAGTTTGGTGGTTTTACCTAGTTGGATCATGAAACATCTACAGGAAAACCACCAAGCCCAGAGATCACCAAGGACCATACAGTCATCGTCCTCCTCCTCCTCTCCACAAACTCCACTCCCTTTTTGCATTGATGATGTTACCTAGCTGGGTCATGAAACTTCTGCAAGAAAACAACCAAGCTCAGAGAGCACCAAGGACCCCACAATCCTCCTCCTCTTCCTTCTCCTCCTCCTAAACACCACTGCCTTCAGGCACTGATGATGTTACCATGGGTCATGAAAGTTGGGTCATGAAACAGGAAAACAACCAAGCTCAGAGACTACTAAGTATCCCACAGTCCTGCTCCTCCTTTCTGCAAACCCTTCCAGAACTGACAATGTTACCTAGTTGGGTCATGAAACATCTGCAAGAAAACAACCAAGCTTAGAGACCACCAAGGACCCCACAGACCTGATGGTTTTTAAACTTCCGAACTCTTCTCTAACATGCAGCCAGAATTTGATCTCAAGAGTGGAACAGGATTCACCCCTAGGTGTTAGTCCAAATGTCAGAACATATTCTTGATGTCATCACACAGATGATGTACAACTTACAGTATCTGTATCATTTGTGTACGTCAGAGTTCATACAACATCTTTGTGGCTCCTTAAGGATACATATGCTTTTAAAAAAGTGTTGATGAGGCCCCATCCAAGTTTCCACAGATATATAATCTTGGAGTTGAGAATCAATTGGGTGTTTTAATGAGAACACAAAACAAATTATCTCTCTAACATCCCACTGCAACCATCTTACTGGTTTGCCCTTTTCAAGAGCACACATTGAATTATTTTTACAACTGAAAACATATGCTTGTGGGTGAAATCTTTCAGGCAGGCAGGAAGCATGAGGTGATATATTTTTTTTCCCCCATTGTGACTTGGAACAGAGTCAAAGTTCCTTGTAACCCTTTCAGAAATAGCACAAGTTAGGGAAAACTATCCAATAAAAGAGAACATCTGTAGCTAAGAGCTGAATTCTGGACTTCCTGGTTCTTTCTGAACTGATTTGTTGATCTGAAGATGTTTCATCATCCAACTAGGTAACATCATCAGTACAACTAACTTCATCAGTAAACTGTATGAAGAATGGTTGTGGGAACTTGTAATGTCTAGTCTAATGAAGAGAAGGACTAGGAGTGACATGATAGCAGTCTTGCAATAATCGAGGGTGTCAGGATTCCGGTAGTTACCCCAATTAAATCATGTATCTTGAACCAAACTTCCAAAACATAAGAATTTATTGGGAGTTAACATGTCCGGCACTGCCTGGATGTAGCCAATTCTGAGACACATTATTCATTGTCACCCTTGACCCTAGTTTTCCCACCACCCCTTGGGTGTATCATAATTCATATTCTCCAATGAGACACATCCATATCCAAGAGTCATCAATCACGTTCTCCAGTTAGAATTTTGCATGGCAGAAACTTCGGTCAACTAGCTACTATCTTTGAAAACTATTCATGGAATGCACTTTCGTTTTGCAAGCTGCTGCACTGCTCGCCCCTTCCTTTCTGTTGGCAATTCTAAAAAGACCAGAGAAATATTTTATGAGTTGACAGAGGGACTGTCACATAGAGGAAAGGAGTCAATTTATTCTCCAAAGAACCTTGGGGCAAGACATGAAGTAACGGATGGAAGTTTAATGAGAGATTAAATCTAGAAGTAAAGACACATTTTTTAACAGAAACAATTCATCAGTGGAACACCTTGCCTCCAGAAGCTGTGGGGACTCTGTCACTGGAGGTTTTGAAGAAGAGATTGGACAGCCATTGATCTGGAATGGTTTAAGGTCTCTTGCTTAAGCAAGGAGTTGGTCTAGAAGACCTCCAAGATCCTTTAAAAGGTAATGGTTTCCCTTGCACATATGTGCTAGTCATTTCTGGCTCTAGGGGGCAGTGCTCATCTCTGTTACAAAGCTGAAGAGCCAGTACTGTCCAAAGATGTCTCCATGGTCATGTAGATGGCATGACTAAACACCAAAGGTTCATGGAACGCTATTACCTTCCCACCAAGGGGGTCCCTATTTTCCTACTTGCATTTTCACATGCTTTCGAGCTGCTAGGTTGGCAGAAGTTAGGACAAGTAACGAGAGCTCACTCCATTACGCGGTGCTAGGGATTCGAACCGCTGAACTGCCGACCTTTCTGATCGACAAGCTCAGCGTCTTAGCCACTGAGCCACTGCATCCCTCTGTTATCTTATATTCTGCAACCAGCTGGATAACAGTTGCACTGGTGGTGTTACCTAGTTGGGCAATGACACATCTTCAGGCAACAAAGAAGCGTAGAAGAACACCCAGGCCTCCACAGGCCAAAACTATTTCAGGTGTTGTGTTTAGTGTGCATTATTTATACAGATTGCAGAATTCTGCAGTTTCCCATCGGGTTTGATTCTGAAGCTCTTTCAGCAGGAAGCAGACCCTGCCCAGTGTCTGGAAGAGAGAAGGGGGAAATGAAGGAGTGAAGGTCATCACCTGGACAGACAGCAGAATTGTTGCATTGCCGTTGTTCCCGGAGGGGCCCACTGCATTGGGTGCTGTACGAATACGACACACAGAACCGCGTCCTACTTTGCCAGCCCTCCCCACAGGTGGTCGAACAGACGCTCCAGGGCGACCACTCTTCCGCCGCTGGATCACCTGTCAAGGTGCAGAACACAGGAGACTACCTTATCCTGGGATCGAACACCCAACGGTCTGCAATTATTATTATTATTATTAATTATTGTTATTATTTTGGCATGAGAGAGAGATGTAGACATGGGTCAAGAGAGACGTAGCATGGATTCTCCAGGTTGTGCTCTCTCTTGGGGAGCCAACATTTCTTCTTTGACCTCAAGTGGGACAATGGAAACAGGCAGCATTTCCTTCTTTGAGATGCCAAGGTCAAATGTAGGCAATTATACAAGCTATATAAATAATGCAGGTAACCAACGGGGATATATTAAGCAAGAATTGCATTACAGACAGTCCTTAAGAAACGCCCATTACAGTCGTACGTCATAATAGTAACTTGTCGTCTGAATGACCTGACTTTACGAACCTTTTTTGCAGTGTCATTAAGTCAATGCATCATTATTAAGCGAACCAAGGGTTTGTTATGGACACACTTTTGCCAAAAACTGAAATAAGCATTGGTTTTCAGCAAAAATGTGCTGGAATGTGGCCGTAGAACCACAGGACACCGCAAACGAGCATTACTCCAGCCTGTCGTTAATGTCCCTGAACCCATTTTGCTTCTCATCCAAGAAGCTTCTTCAGTTCTGCATGTATGAACTGAAGAAGCTTCTTGGGTGAGAAGTGAAAACCTCTTCAAGGAAAAAACAGAGAAATTCCAGATGCCTTTTGAGAAGAAAAAAAAAAGCACCTTTGGGGTATCCCTAGATTTAAACGAAGCAAGAATTATGCATGAGGTTAAACCAGTCATCCTGTCTTTATCTGGGATAATGAAGTAACTGACCCTGTAGTAAACTGACATCTGAGCTGCAAAACTCTGCGGTGATGCTAGGTTTTCTTTACAGCCAAGAGTTTTCTTTACTGGCTAGCTGAGGAATTCTGGGATTTGAAGTACACAAGTCTTAAAGTTGCCAAGTTTGGAGACCCTGGTTTAGAGTCATTACGCAGCCACAAAGTTCTACACCCCCGCCCCCCTTGGTTGCCGTTGATCGTAACCAAGCTCTAGCCAGATGCTGAGCATTAGTTGAGAAGATTCCTTGTGTAATGTAACAAAGACACCAGCTAATTTAAACCTTCCAGTATGCACCTGGTTTTTGCACCTGACAATAGGTTCCCTTATATATGCAATACAGGCTGTCCTTGATGTACAACTACAATTGGGCCCCAAATTTATGTTTTCTAAGTGAGAAATCTGTTTAGTGAGTTTTGGCCCATTTTATGCCTTTGGTCTGGCCAGATTTGTTAACCGGATCACTGCATTTGTTAAACGAGTAACTCGGTTGTTAAGCAGATCTGGTTTCCTTACAGAGTTTGCTCATCCTAAGGTTGCAAAAGGGGATCTTGTGACGAAGGGAGATTGCTACCGTCATAAATGTGAGTCAGTTGTTTAGGCATTCAAATATAAATCACGAGACCATGGGGATGCTGCAAAGGTCATAAGTGTGAAACATGGTCATAAGTTGCTTTTTTCAGTGCTGTTGTAACTTTAAACTGTCACTAAATGAACAGTTGTAAGTCAAAGGCTACCTGTATCTCTCCTAGTATCAGCAATTGTCCACCCCTATTGCTACATAGACAGCTGCCAAACTGAGAAGGATTGTTCCAATACTACAGGACACTCACTATAGTAGCAGTAGAAGAGAATATTTGTAGTTCAGGGTTGAACTGTGGGGTCCTTGGTGCCCTCTGAGCTTGGTTCTTTTCTTGCAGATCTTTTGTTACCCAACTGGGTACCACCATCAGCGCTGATGCTGTCACCTAGTTGGGTAATGAAATGTCTACAAGGAAACAACCAGCCCAGAAAGCAATGAAATGTCTACAAGGAAACAACCAAAGAAAGCACTAAGGACCTCACACTGACATTGCTATTCATACCCCAATTGTTGGCTTAATTGATGGATCCAGGTCTTGTGCGAATCTCCCCAATTGGGTGGATTTTATAACCAGGTTAAGGATGTTGGTCTAAGACCGTCTAATAATGTCTTAGAAGTGAATATCTGGAGGCCAATGATCTCTCCATTTTTAATCTCCCCTTTTTGTCTCTTCTGCCCTACTGGAAACCAAATCAGCGAATTTGAACCTTCAGGTAAGGACTTGTTTTCTTCACCTGACACCTGTTCTTGGTCTCTTGCATTTACCTGCTAACGTTTGGGCTACGTACCTATCTGAGGTGCAGGATGTCCATATTGCTGGAAGTCTTCAATGTCATCTTTTTTCCGGTTATCTGTAGACCGTAGAGACTGACTCCGGGAGTTATAGTGTATGTTGGCTAGAAGAAAAAGAAAAGAAAAGGAGTGGGGAAAGGAAGAATCTAGATGAATACCCTTGCAAAATCATCTTCTCCAAACTTTTGCTTGAAGGTCAGAACAAGAAAGAATACATTCACATTATTAGAAGCCAAAGCAGGGGTGGGATTCTACCAGTTCGCACCTATTCGCTAGAACCGGTTGTTAACCTTCTAAGCAGTTCGGAGAACCGGTTGTTAGAAGAAATTACAGGGCTAATCCTGTAAGGAAGGCAGGAAGGAAACATTCTGGTGTTGCTTACAGAAACAGCCTCTCCGTTAACCCTTATTACATTCTTGGCAGGACTAGACTTCCAGGAACGTCTTTGGAGTTATTTTTCCCTCCTTTGCTGGTACTTTGCTTGTGTGGAGTGACCATTCAAAGTTACAATGGCACTGAAAAAAGTGACTTATGACCCTTTTTCACACTTACGCCTGTTGCAGCATCGCCACAGTCACGTGAGGCCAGGCGAGGAGATGCGTGCCTCAATGTGAGGGATATTGAGTTTGCCATGCCCAGACAATAACATGACCACCAAGCCATGTCCACCCAGTCACATGGCCACCAAGCCACGCCCACTAACCAAGCCACACCCACAGAAGCAGTTGTTAAAAAATTTGAATCCCACCCCTGAGCCAAAGGCCCGTTTTATCAAGGAGAGGCTGAATATAAGATCTGCAAGTTCTTCAGGAGGAAGGTCAGAGGCACACACTCGATTATATGTTCCCCTTCCCGATCTAAGGTGACCTAAACTCCCATTATAAAGAGAAATTGTTGAGGAGGCCAGGCCTACTTTTCCTTTTGAGATAAATGCAGTGAGAAAGCAGGGCTGAAAGAACCCACTTCGTGCGTCAACTCATAAAACATTTCTTTGCCTGTTTTAGAGCTGCCATACACAGAAAGGGGGAGGGAGAATTTGAAAGAGCAATAAAAGCAGTTTAAAAATGAAAGTGCATTCCACTCTTAACTTGCAAAGATTATAACTAAGCTACTGGAATTTCTGCCCTGCAAATTCCTAATTGGAAAACGTGATTGATGACTCTTGGCTATGAACGTGTTTTGTCGGAGAATATGAATTATGATACACCCAGAGGGGTTGGGGGGAAAACCAGGGTCAAGGGTGACAGTGAATTACGTGTCTCAGAATTGGCTTCATGCAGGTCACGCCAACATGTTCGCTCCTAATAAATCCTTGGAAGTTTTTGAAGCCTGGCTTGAGGCTCATGTTTTAATTAGGGCAATTGCTGGAAACCTAACAATCATGCTGACATTTTTTTTTAAAAAAGGAAGAATATATTTCTCTCATTAGACTTGATCAGGAGGATATTGAAGTGTGGATCATTTTAGATTCAACCAACAATGTTACAGCATACAGAACATAGAACAACCAGGTTGGGAGGGACCGTGGAGGTCTTCTAGTCTAACCTCCTCCAACGATGGAGCACTCACAACTCCCAGAGGCGAGCCATTCCATTGATGATTGCAAAGAATATCGAACAATTAAACTGTGAGGGAAGTTCTCCAGGGGACAACAAACCAACCCCTTGATGGGCTCCATAATATCCCTCTGAGGTCCCCAGGCCTAGTGGCAAAACCATGTCTTTAGGGCCATTTAAAAGAGTGTCAAAATGGGGATCAATCTTAAGGTCAGCCTCCAGAAAGTTTTCTTGACATCTTTTGCTGCTTGCTTCTTGTCGGCTGCCAAAGAAACGGGGTGGGTGGGGGAAGGGGTAATTTGGTATTTGGGAGGGGAAGGTTGCTGGAGAGTTAAGATGTTTTCTGGGTGAAGGAGGGGACGCTTTCCTGCTTACTGAGCAACTGCATAGACTTATCTCTAGTAAACCAAGGTCAACCGCCTTGGCATACCAGATGGGTGAGAAACCACCTGAAGATGTACCCCATACGACATTGTACACACCTCAGATTGGGTGACCAGTCTGGACTCCTGGGGGAGGGAACTTGGAATAACTTTCAATATGTAATTTCCATACCAATTGGCCTGAGATCTTGCTTTTCTTTTGTTGCTGTCACTTCAAACTCAATTAAAAAAAAACATATTTTTCTCTATTTTAATGGAGTCGAAGCAGGGGTGGGTTCTTACCGGTTCGGTTTGGTTCTATAGAACAGTAGCTTCAAAGACCAGCTGACACCAAACTGGTTTTATGGGATGAGGTTTTGGTCTGCTGCTTGGTATTAACAGAGGGATACAGTCAAGATCAAGGGAAGTACTAATACCACTCTATAAAGCCTTAGTAAGACCACACCTAGAGTACTGCACCCAGTTTTGGTCACCACACTATAAAAAAGATGTTGGGACTCTAGAAAAAGTACAGAGAAAAGCAACCAGGATGATTAGGGGACTGGAGACTAAAACATACGAAGAACGGTTGCAGGAACTGGGCTTGGCTAGTCTAGTAAAGAGAAGGACCGGGGGAGACAGGATAGCAGTCTTCCAATATTTGAGGGGCTGCCACAGAGAGGAAGGGGTCACACTATTTTCTAAAGTGCCTGTAGGCCAGACCAGGAATAGTGGATGGAAAATGAACAAGGAGAGATTTAATCTGGAAATAAGGAGAAACTTTCTGACAGTGAGAACAATCAACCAATGGAACAGCTTGCCCTCAGAAGTTATGGGAGCGCCATCAGTTGAGACTTTCAAGACGAGATTGGACTGCCATTTGTCAGAAATGGTGTAGGTCTCCCACTTGGGCGGGGGGTTGGACTAGATGACCTACAAGGTTCCTTCCAACTCTGATTATCTGTTAAATCTGTTAAATCTGGTCATTAGCACTCTTTTGGAGAGTCGTTGAGGACACTTGGAGGTTTATCTGTGCCTTCAGGGTTGCCTGAATAATGCAAATGCATGTGGAACCTTCCTGGTAGTGCTGAAAGATGTTACACACCCATTTGCACTACCCAGGTGACCCTGACAGCATAGATAAAACTCCAAGTGGCCTGAATAGCTCTCAGAAAGAGTACTAATGACCAGATGACTGTAAGGAATATAAATCCTTCCATCCTCCGCCATTCAGTCAGAAATGAAGAAGCTTCTTGGATAAGAAGAGAAATGTCTTCAAAGAAAAACCAGAAAGTCCAGTTGCCTTTGAAAAAGCACCTTAGGGACAACCATGACCTCGATGATTGAGACTCTCCCTAGACTTCTAGAGAAAGCATCATCCCCTTTTCCTGTTTGTAAGGAAAGATTGTATCTCTGTAAATTAAATACAAAGAGACTCTTTTTTTTTAAAATAAAAAACAAACATTATACTGAAGACCACCAGAGAGAGTTTGCAGCTGGACTTCTGCAGCCTCTGAGCATGAACAGAGTGCATTTTATTCCGAGAAGAGCAGTAATCACAGCCATATCACAACAAAACCTAACAGTCAGCACCCTTAGTTTAGTACCACTCGAGTGACTCTGAGGACATATAAACCTCCAGGTGGCCTCAACAACTCTCCGAAAGAATGCAAATGACCAGCTGCCTGCAAGGAGTATAAAATCTTTCCATTCCCCACTGTCCTCTTAGAGCTGAAGAAGCTTCTTGGAGGAGAAGCGAAATATCTTCCAAAGAAAAACCAGAAAGTCCATCTGCCTCTTGAAAAAGGCACCTTTGGGACAACCATGATGGACCTGAATGACTGCGAATCTCTACAGACTTTGTTTAGGAAGCGATGCAGCTGTTCCTAAAATATAATTAAATTTTGAGGACACTTTGATTCTAAAGTAGGATCTTCTAACAGTATTTTCGGCTGCTGAAGAAGTAGATGGGGAGAAAGACGCAGGAGCAATTAATTCCTAATGCATTCCATCTTTTATGAATAGCGGGTGGCGGTGGTGAGGTTTTGCCTCTCTCAAAATTAATACAACATATCATTAAGCTGAAGACAGCAAAATTGGGACAATTGCTACTCCACAGAAAAAGAAATATTGCCACGGCTCATGAGACAGCAGCAAAATAAACAATTTTGATACCACGATATAATTAAAATCAGCACAACTCCCACCCCACCCCGTCAACGTTTTGTTTCCAGGATTTAAAATGTTGTCATAAACAATCTGTACAGCGGAGATACAGATCTTCCAAACAATCATGGAAATTCCCCAGTGAAATGTTGGGAAATATTTACTTGATTCCTCGTCTGCTCCAAATGTGGGTTTTCATTTCTTCTGAACAAAGCCGGCGGCTTTATATTTAAAGAAGTTCAGGATTCATAATCAGTTTAGGAAGGAGACTTCTCCCCATGAGTCCTACATTCCCACCTGTTTTTGCCCGGCTCTGTCTCGGTTCCCTCCGATTGGAAGGTTTTTCTAGTTGGCGGCGTTGTTTTCAAGCTTGCTAAATCTGTTTTCCCGAAAAGCCAAAATAGATCGACTGGAAGCATTGCAATTTTCTAATATTTCAGACCTGTGATCTGCTTTCACGTTGGAGAACAATATATTTGTGAACTTCATCAGAAGAAGAAGACCAGGGGTGACATGATAGCAGTCTTCCAATATTTGAGGGGCTGCCTCAAAGAAGAGGGAAGGGGGGTCAATCCATTCTCTGAAGGCAACAAATGGTAACTAATCAAGGAAAGAAGCAATCTAGAACTGAGGAGAAATTTCTTCACAGTGAGAACAATTAACCTTGCCTCCAGAAGTTGTGGGCGCTTCATCATTGAAGGTTTTTTTTTTTATCAAATAAGAGCCAACCTAGAACTGAGGAGAAGTTTCTTGTCAGGGAGAACAATTAATCGGTGGAACAACTTGTCTCCAGAAGTTGTAGATGTTTCCTCATGGGAGATTTTCTAGAAGAGATTGGACAGCCATTTATCTGGATTTGTATAAAGTCTCCTGCCCAAGCAGAGGATTGAACTACCAGCATCCCTCTCGTTATTCTATATTCCGTAAAGGTATATTTGATTTGGGCTCAGAGCTTCTAGTGGAAAGAACGGGAGAAGGTCAAACTTCCTCCCATTGATCTGGAAAGATATTTGATGACTT